AAGTTGTGCACAGCTTTAGTTGATCTTCTGATCTTCTGGTGTGAAGACATGACTTTGAGTTGCAGAGACGGATGATTCATGTTTGAAGAAAAATGTGACACCACCAGTGGAGGATATCAGCTTGAGGAGATGTTGTCTGTGTATCGGTCTCCTAGTGAGAGATTTGTTTTGTGAAGCCCGGTTAAGTAAAACAAAAAAAACGGAAACCACTCCCGCTTCCGCTCGCTCGCTCCTCCCTTATTTCTCGAATCGGTGTCAGATCTCTCGCTTCCTCTTGTTGCGAACAGGCGGGCGGTTGAGTGCGTGCGTGTGGTTAGCGGAAGAGGAAGGAAGAAATCGCACGGCTCTCCTTCAGATTTTGCATGACCTTTTTAGTGTTCTTCTTCGGGCTTCCTCGGGATAGAGAAAGAGAAGTGCAATGTGTAGTTCCTTGCATAGTGCAAGGAGTAGTTTCTTGGGGCAAAAGTAAGAATAAAGAAGAAGAAAATTATTCTCCCTTAGCTTCTTCTTGGTGGCTTGTGGCAGAAGAGAAAGTGGATTTATTTCTCTTGTAAGTTTATCTTCTTCGGTGTATCTCGGTGTAGAGAGAGAAGAACAAAGAGAGAAGAAGAGAGAGCAATGAAGTGAGAGATTTCTCTTGTAAGTCGAGACGATCGACTGGTGTAAATTCCTCAAGTATTAAAATCCTCTGTAACTTTGTGGACGTAGGCAATTTGCCGAACCACTTAAATCTGTGTGTTCCGCCATGTTACTGTTTTCTAGTGTGAATCTTTCTCGTTCTATTTTTCGCTTATTCAAAGATCGTTTTCCTATTTTATTACTATATATATACCACAACAGCTGATATAGCTCGCAACAATCTATGCAACGAACTTCTTTTAGTTTTATTTGCTGTAGATAATTTCCCTTTCATCAATTTAGGTGAAAACAATTATTATTTTGGGTACATAGATACCACCTTAATTCTTCTGTTTTATCACAACTATCTTTATATGACTTGTTTCCGTCTCCCTTGAAGCAATCTTTACTTGGATGTTACTAGACAATATCTCCTATTTAGATGTTCACTTCCTTTCTTTGTATTTCTGCTTGTTTTATGCAATTGCTTTTTCGTCAATACATGAACCATAAATCTGCTTTCCTTAAGTCTCTTTGTTATGTTAGCTCTGTGGCTAACTTGAAGGAAAGTTTTAGAATGCTTATTGTTGTATCTTCGTAGAAATTGTAATATTTTTATATTCACCACCTTCATTTGATCATTAATTATTGGATGAAAGTCAGTGCCTCTCTTTGGCTCCATTTGATCGCACAAAATTTTTGGAAATTCATTTCCATAGATAGCTTCAGACGTACTAAGACGTGCGCAATCCCATCTTTTTGTTAGTATTCAGTTGTTAAGTCTCCTTAGGCATGCTCACTCAATCCTGCTACATTTTAGGCAAATTAACTTGGGAAGATTTACATGCATACCATTCAATTCTTATGTATTTACATATTTGTCATCTTACTTATGCATGAAAAAGTGTATTTCACATTTTAAAAGCTACAATGGCGGTATTTTTTATGTGACAAAAAGATTTGTGTGGTATAAATGTGAAAATCATAGTTTAGTTGTTAGATATGTAAATACACAAGAATTGGGTGGGATGTATGTAAATGCCCCATTAACTTCTTGTTAAAGGATTTGCGCTGCCTTCCTGCTCCAAAGTTTCCCAACTTTTTGATGCGTGTTTTTCTTACATTCATTGGGCTTGGACTATAGAATTTGTTAGTAATCTCTCTTCTCAGTAGAGAATATTGTCTTTTAATGCAAACTTCGAAGGATTTGTCTACTCCAGTCCTTTAATATTTCTTTAAAGAAGGGATTTTGTAGGCACCACTCTTGGCAATCTTTCATAGATGGGTTAATTTGCATCACTTTACTAGAAGAAGAAAGTCTTAGGAGTAACCGAGAGATCATGCTAACCTTTTTATTGGTAATCCTCCTTTTGTGCTTAACCTCCAATTTGAATTTGTTGATCTAATTCGTCCATTTTATATGTTACGCACTTCATCCATATGATTTTGAATGGCATAACAAACTACGGATACAACCCCTATATGATTTTGAAACTATATTCCAATTATTAATTTCATCATTGCACGTCTTATGATAGTCATATTTGAGATATAACTTGGTGTGTGAGCTTCGGTTGATTTAGCAAGTCCTTGATGTTCTTCATGTCCAATGCTTTTTTATCGTTATTTTATAAAAATGTGGCAGTAGGTGAACAAACTTTGTGTTGCATCTTTCTTTAAGGTATCACAATGGGATTTCCTTGAGAACCATTATGCAACGTGCTTTCTAATCTTCTCTTTCCTGACAATTTCGGTACATTAGAAAATTTGGTAATGATGCATCGAGATTAATTGGATATAATGCTTTATGTATTAAATGTTGAAATAGGCGACGCCTATTTCTTTATCTTCCTCCTTTTCTTTCGTATTCAATCTCATATGAAGATTGAGTTGGGGTTTCTATAGTAGTAGTAGTGGGGGACGTCAATAATGTGCCACTAAATAGGATGGTCATCTTGTCAATTTTGAGATTTGTAGTATCAAGTCTTTGATAGGGGAAGGAGATGTTCTTATGGAGATTTACAGATAAGGGCAGGGTTGTGTGCGCTGTTGATGTTGATGCTTGTAACTTCTTCTAAATCCAAAATTTATTCTATTTATTTAATTATTTTTAGTTAACACAAAAAAATTCATGTTATTTTGATTTCAGGTTGAGTTGACTCTATTTGATTTAATTTTTATTTCAATTCGTGTTTGAGTTCATCTTGATTCTATCACTTTACTCAATGTCACCCCTAGTTCATTGATATGTATTTGATATATAAAGATTATTCCTAAAATTGATGTATACGTCATAAACTTAACTTAATGGTATATATTATATGCATGTAGTAATGCATTTATATGGATGTTTTTTGGCATAGAAGATAATGATTATTCTTCTTTCAATTTTATTTCTGCATCTATTGATTTATATTAGTCCGACTCCAAATCAAGAAATTGATTGTTATCCACAACATGAAATATTTTTGTGAATTAATTTTTTTTAGTTTCAGTAATTGTTTAATCATCCACCAAGCATACGAAAGATAAAAGTAGGTAGGTTGGAATATGGAAGGTCTTATCTACCTTTTTATTTCAATATTTCATCATGAAACAACTAAATAGATGCTCGATATCATAGAGATATCAATTAATGTTTTTTAATTCCATGCCCTTTGGTCTTTAAGAGGTGTCTACTTGGAATAAGACTTCTCTTATCAGGTTTGTTTCTACTTTTTTTTCTTTGGGGTCTTAGAGCAGGTTTGCTCTGCTTTTACTTCTGTCACAAGAAGTGGGGATTATTGGAGCAGGTTTGTGATTATGGGGTTTAGGATAGTTAAAAATGTCATCGGGAAAAAGGTGGAGTAGGATTTGCAGGGAGCGTGTTTCCACTCGTAGAGAACAAGCAAACTACTACCTTGCTTTTTAACAGAGGTGGCTATGAAGGAGAGTGGAATCGGTGCTGATTTGGATATTTACTCTTACAAATGTAAGGCGAGAACCTTTCACAGTAAGTGGCTCTATTGCTAGGGAATTCGTATTTTACTAGCTATTTTGGAGATTCCACCCTCAGACCAGCAATACAAGGAAAGCTTAGGGAATTTTACCCATATAGGGACCTCATAAAGTCTTCTTTGATTGGCTTGAAATCATGAGATTACTTTTAAAAAATGAATAGATTTCCATTAATAAATCAGGGACCTCCCAACATAACCATATCCATATCGAGATCCTCAGCACAATTAAAGTTCAAAAAGCAAAAGGCCTTCATTAAGAGCTATTAGTTCTATAGTACCTCAGAGTTATCAGATTTTATTTATGATTTGAAGAAGATTACCATAAAATGAACATTTTCTCAGAGCTTCACCAACCAGAGCTAAGTTTCATTGCTTGGAACCATCTTCCGCCTCTTGATCTGTGTAAAAAAAAAAGAAAAAAAAGGACTTAGTTATCTGCGTAGGGGATGTCAGAAAGGGTGAAGCTGGTGGGGTTAGGAATATGGGAGGTTATAAGCCCTTTCCAGTTAAGGGAAGGCCTTGGGCCGAGTACGGAGCGAGAATCAGAATAGAGAAGCAAGATGTTAGGTTGCAGAGGTACCGTCTATGATTTCTTGAAGATAGAAGGGAAGAGGAAAAGGAAACTCTAAAAACATTAGCAGAGCGGCACACATAAGAAAAAAGGTTTTTTTTTGTGTTTATATATTCATAATTGACTTTTTAAGTGTAATTTAAGAGGCATTTGAAGTTTATAGAATTGAATAAAATTTATTTATAAACATGGAAGAAGTTATTAAAAAATAAGTAAATTATTATTAAATGAGCTTCTTATTGAGTTATTTGTTAAAGAATAAAGAAGCCAATATTAAAGGTAATTCATTTATATGTTGAGCTTAAAAAATTTTGTGTTTGTTCAACCATCTTAACAATTTTTTTAAATAATTGAACATAATTGACTTAAATGCTATTAAACTATTGACTTAGTTCATTTAGCCTTGTTTATACGCTGTTTTTATATTCTTGAGACATTTCTTTTTTTTAAAAAAATATATTTACCTCCTGATTTATCAGGATGAACTGCTGATTAATTTGAACTTCATTTCTTTCAGCCATTATTAGCATATGTGCTGCTAAATACTCAATGATGAATTTTTCCCTTTGTTTTTTTGGGAAACTTACATAAGTAGCACACAATTCTTATGCATTTACATGTCTCACACCTAAACTTTTATATTTACATGCATAGACACTTTGCATTAAAAGGTGTATTTCACTTATAAAAAGTTGTAACAGTGCTATTTTTTATTTGATTGTTGTGTGCAAATATGAAATTTAGATGTGAGATACTTAAATACATAAGAATTGTGTGCACTGTATGTAAATGGCCCCCTTTTTCTTGTTCAGGTTCTCTTACGTTTGGATGCTGGAACTGGAACTGGGCATGCATTGCTGCGTTCATTTGGTCACTGGAACTTCTTCTCATTTGCTTTTGATGCATAAACTGATTAATAAATTCACTTTTTTGTGAACCATTCTACTTTGTTTTTGCTAAAATAACTGCCTGAATACCCAATTATGGACTTATATGCAATTTACAATATCTTTTCCTATTGAATGAGCAATGCATTTGATATTTGTTGGTGCAAAGTGCAATTTTGTGATTGTGGTATTTTTGGCGCACATGTTCTCTATTGGCGGTGCAATTCAGGCGAATTGAGCTCGAGTTATAGTGAACTTAGAACCCAACCTGTTCAGTTTTTTCTGACCTCGGGCTCGAGCTCCACTTCAGCTCATGGTCAAATACTAGTTGGTGCACTGGAGGTTGACGAAAACTTTCTATAATTTTATTAATCTTGGCCTACAATCAAGTCTAAAACTAACTCCAAAATAATTTTAAAATGTACTCCTCATATAAATGTATATTTAAAATAGGTTTCTTAACCCGTAAACATATATTTAATGCTTTTTATTGATATAAATAATTATACAAGCAAATGCATGAAAAAATAAATTTATATACATAATAAAATTCTATTGCATCCATTTAATTTTTAAAATTTGAAATTTTCATAAATATTAAGTATGTTAAGAATGTTTTTTTTATTAAAAAAATATATTATGTTATGTAAAAAACTTTTGTTCTGCAGCTAAGTTTGTAAAACTAGATATGAGATAGGCAGGAAAAAGAAAATTAGCGTTCCCATGTCAATCTCCACCGCATCGAACGGTGTTCGATTCCGGACCGCGATTCAATGGCTGTTCAACATTCAAAAGTAGTGTCATCAACTCTGAAAGCAGTACTTACTGGAAGTCCGACCGTCTCCATAAACCTTTGTATTCTGGAAGAGTGTCTCCGGAAATGCCAGATTCCGAAAGATTTTCTCCAAATCCATGCTCAGCTGTCCGTTTCCGGTTTAATCAACGATTCTATGGCCGCAAGTCGCCTTCTTTCCTTCTCCGCAAACTCACATTTTCTTCCTCTCGATCACTCTCTGCGAATTCTCGACCAGGCGGAGAACCCCAACGCCTTCTGCTGGAACACCATTATGCGAGCTTATGTCCGGAGAAATCTTCCTCAGTCTTGTCTTTCTCTATACAGATCGATGCTGAAGTCTGGCTTGGTTCCAGATAACTTCACCCACCCGATTGTACTCCAAGCTTGTTCTTTGCGGTTTTGTTTACGGGAAGGTGAGCAGATCCATTCTCATATTTTAAAATTTGGGCTGCATTTAGATGTTTATATTCTCAATACTTTGATCAATTTGTACTCTGTTTGTGGGCATTTGGGGCGTGCACGATTACTGTTTGATGAAAGTCCTGTGTTGGATTCTGTTTCTTGGAATTCGATTCTGGCAGCATATGTGCAGATTGGTGATGTGGATGAGTCTGTTTACATCTTTGATAATATGCCGGAGCAGAACACAATTGCTTCAAATTCCATGATTGCTCTGTTTGGCAGAAGTAAGCTAGTTGAGGATGCGCGAAAGCTATTTGATGAAATGACTCTTAGAGACACCGTGTCGTGGACTGCCATGATTAGCTGTTATGAACAAAATAAGATGTTTAGGGAGGCATTGGAGTTGTTTAATTTCATGAGAGGTTGTGGAATTCCCATTGATGAGGTTGTGTTGGTCAGTGTGCTTTCTGCTTGTGCTTCGTTGGGAACTATTAAGGAAGGCGAAGCCATTCATGGATTGATCATCAGAATTGGGATTCAAACATATTTGAGCCTTATGAATTCCTTGAGCCATATGTACTCCTCATATGGGAATATTGATGCCGCCGAATTGTTATTTGATTCAAGTTATTCGGATCAAATTTCTTGGAATATAATGATATCTGGCTACTTGAAGTGTGGTTTTGTGGATAAAGCAAGACGGACATTTCATTCCATGCCTCATAAGGATTTGGTTTCTTGGAGCACCATCATTTCAGGCTATGCCCAACATGGAAGTTTCTCGGACACGTTGAATTTGTTCCATGAGATGCAAATTAGGGGGATTAGACCTGATGAAACTACATTGGTTAGTGTTATTTCGGCTTGCACCAATCTTTCTGCTCTGGAACAAGGTAGATGGGTGCATGCCTATGTAAGGAAGCATGCCTTTAGACTTAATTTGTTTCTTGGCACAACCCTCATAGACATGTACATGAAGTTTGGTTGCACGGAGACCGCACTGGAGATTTTTGATGAGATGGAGGAAAAGAGTGTTTCTACTTGGAATGCTGTGATACTAGGTTTGGCCATGAATGGATTCTTTAAAGAAGCGCTCGAGAAGTTCTCCCATATGGAGAGGCATGGCGTGTTGCCTAATGAGATCACCTTTGTCGGTGTTTTGGGTGCCTGTCGTCATGGTGGCTTGGTCGCTGAAGGACGGGATCATTTCAATTCAATGAAGCATGTTTATAATCTAGAACCAAATGTTAAACACTATGGATGCATTGTTGATCTATTAGGACGTGCCGGTCTTCTTAATGAAGCCGAGGAAGTCATAACATACATGCCTATTGTTCCGGATGTGTCTACTTGGGGGGCTTTGCTTGGTGCATGCAAAAAGTATGGAAACAATGAGATAGGAGAGAGATTAGGGAGGAAGCTCATTGAGTTAGAGCCCGAGCATGATGGATTCCATGTGCTACTCTCTAACATGTACGCTTCGAAGGGGAAGTGGGATGATCTGATGGAGATCAGGAGCATAATGAAGAGAAGAAAGGTGGTTAAGACGCCTGGGTGTAGTATAATAGAAGCTGACGGCATTGTTCATGAGTTCTTATCGGGTGATGATGGCCATCCACAAATGAATAAAATTGAAGAAATGTTAAATGAGATGGCGAGGAAATTGAAGATGGAAGGCTATGAAGCTAACACTGCTGAAGTTGCTTTTGACATTGAGAACGAAGAGAAGGAATCCTCTCTTTATCGGCATAGCGAGAAGCTTGCAATCGCCTTTGGGCTCATTAACACAAAACCATCTGTACCAATAAGGATAATGAAGAATCTACGAATATGTAGTGATTGCCATGCTGCAGCCAAGATTTTATCCAAAGCCTTCGAGCGTGAGATAGTGGTGAGAGACCGGCATCGATTCCATCACTTTAAGCAGGGTGTATGCTCATGCACAGACTATTGGTAAGCTATTATTGATCGAAGTTACTGATGTTAGATTCAAATTTATTTGTGGGAGATACTAGAATATTATTAACTATTGGACTTGCACCAAGACAGAAAGAGCATAGACAGAAAGGGTTCAAGAGAGAAGATCTAAGGATCACTCTTGATTATTATTAGGAAGTGCAAACTGATGTGCAGATGCATTCTCCGATCCCTATGTATTTGGCCGAAGTTCAATGCTACAGGAATGATTATGTGCCACTTAAATATATAACAAGACTTAACAAGTGCTTGCTGTACAATGAATATTTCTAGCTAGCTTTTGGTTATCTAAGAACATTGAGACTCTTATTAACAAGTAAAGGATAGTATTTTGAGAATGATCCTTCATTTGACGAAGACCCTGGAGACTTCATCTAAGCTGGCAGTAGCTTTAACTACTTTGGTGATTTCAATGGCCACTTTAATGAATGAGTTCATTTAAACTGGGCGGGTAGCCATGTTGATTTCAATTGACGAATTTATCGTTAGGTAGATCGTTCCTCCAGGGACTTCAATTGACATTGGGTGTACAATTGATGCTTATAAAAATTTTCTAAATATATATACTTTAATATAATTGTTTTCCCTTTTTGTTATTTTTATAATAGTCTTAGTTGTAGATTGCTAGAGTTAAGAAACCATTCTTTGGGTAAGTTTAGCACTTGTACCATTAAGTATTCTTCTGTTTAGTTTAGTGTAAGATTTGAGTTGATATTTATCTATCTGAAACAGTTGTTCTAGTTTCCACTTTTTCTTCTATATCCTTGTTTTGGTCTCTTGATTTGGTGTACTTTTATACAATGAAATAAATGACATAACAGCTCAAAACATTCACATTTCTCTTCTGCCTTATTGATGCACTCTCTCTCTTTTTCAATTGCTATACAAAAGTTGCCTACGTTCCTGTTAATCTGCAGCAATTTTATGTTTGGGAAATTTACATATGCAGCGCACAATTCTATTGTATTAACATATCTCACAACTTAAATGTCATATTTACATATGTAGCACTTCTGGGGGCTTTAAACCTATGCATAAAAAGGTGCATTTCACCTTTATAAAGTGATAATCGTGCTATTTTTTATGTATAAAATGTGTATGAAAATGTGTTCACTTTTAAAAGGTTAGTAGTAGTGGCATTTTTGTTCTGATATTAAAGAATAGGCTGTTATGCATGTAAATATAAAAGTGTAGTTGTTAGATATGTAAATGCATAAGAATATGTATTTGTAATATATTGATTTTAAGATGTGCGCATGGTGGTAAGTAAAATTTTTTATGAGAGTTAGAATTGAGAAGTCAGTTAAGGAATGGTTTTGTAGTGATGAATTTATTTTGACTGCTTGATTCATGACAATATAATTTTGTGCTTATTGTCGAATGATTAATTGATTATTTCTATGCTAAATGCTGGCAAAAAGATATGGGATAAATTTATTATAACCTATATATGCGTTTTAAGGAGATAAACATGTTAAAGTTCATGATTATGACACATTTAACATGGAATTAAGGGAGAGTATTTTGGACATGTATTGCAGATTTTCCTAAAAGCGTAAAAATATTAATGTTTTTTATGCTATTCAAACAACAAATAATAATCTGAACTTAGAGTGCGTTTGCGATTGCAGTGTGATGCTGCATCGCACTTCGTAGTGTTTGTTTTACTTGTTTTTTTCATGAATTTAAAGCTCATGTCATCTAAATATAATAGCAATTTTAGGCATTAGTTTTGCTCATCATTGTTGATCAGCATTACCATCAATCTTTAGTAATTGGTACATATTCTTGATGATGATTTTATAAAGTTTTGTAGTCCAGTAATAATAATAATAATTCATCAACATCTTTTATATAGAAGGTATGAGGACTCCCAAGAAGATCCACTAGAATTAATGGATCTCATTTCATGGAGTCGTAGTTTGTTTATTTTTTATTTTATTAAAATTTTGGATTTCACCTAAAAAACACAAATAAAGTTGTTTTTATGAGTAAACTTTATGACTTTAAGATTTGTAATGTTCATGAAGAAGCATTTTGTGTAGGATAAAATAACAAACGCTATTAAACAAGTGACAGAAGATGTGCTATGACTTCAAGATTTGTAATGTTCATGAAGAAGCATTTTGTGCAGGATAAAGTAACAAACGCTATTAAACAAGTGACAGAAGATGTGCTTAGAAAATCGAAATAAAAAATTTATATAAATAAAATACTTGGTGGTGGAATAATAATGTGTATGGAAAGATAAAATATAAGAAGTTGTGTTATAAAAATTGGTTCAAATGTAAAAATTTAGAGAATTAGAAAAAAATTTAAGAGAGCCAGTAAAGAGTATAAGAGAATAATTTGTGATGCTAAAATTAGAAAAAATTTAAGAGAGCCCGTAAAGAGTATAAGAGAATAATTTGTGATGCTAAAAATTATGTTTTTAATTATTTTTATAACATTTTAGATACTAAATAAGGTGAAAAATATATGTATAAACTAACCAAACAAAGAGAGAAGATAAGTGAGGATTTAATTCAAGTAAAATACATTAAAGATGAATAACAAAATGTATTTTTCTTAGAGGAAGATATTCAACATAGGAGGGTGAGATATTTTGATAAATTTTTAAATTAAATTTTTGAAAATAAGATCGACCTTCGTGATGATAAATCTTAATTTTGTTAATAATAATAAAATGTTTTATTTTTATATTCGTATTAGTAAAAAAGAAGTTGAAGGGACTTTAAAGTCAGTTTGAAGGGACATTAAAGTCAGTTAAGGGTGAAAATTTAGTAGAACTTAATGATATCCCAGTTGAAGTTTGGAAATATTTAGGAGATTTGAGAGTTTCTCGACTTACTAAACTTTTTAATACTATTTTAAATGCTAAAAAGATGCCTGAAGAGTGGTGGAAGAGTATTTTGGCCACTATTTTTAAGAATAAAGCAGATACACGAGTGTGCAAATTACAGAGGAATTAAGTTGATGTGTTATACTTTAAAATTATGGGAGTGATAATTGAACACAGGTTAAGACATGATACAAAGATTTTTCATAATCAGTTTAGATTTATGTTAATTAGGTGCACTTTGAAAGTTATACATTTTTTGAGAGGTTTCGATAAAGTTCCAAGAGAAGTCCTTTGGAGAGTTCTAGAGAAAAAAGGTGCTGATATGGCTTATATTAAAGCCATTTAAAATATGTATACTAGAGTTGTTACTTGTGTTCAAACAGAAGGAGTATTGACCAAGTTTTTTCCTATTTAAGTTGGATTACACCAAGGATCAACTATAAGTCCATATCGTTTTGCTTTAGTTATGGATGTTCTGACTGAACATTTACAGGAGGATGTACCTTGGTGTGTGCTTTTCACCGATGATATTCTTCTTGTGGATAAGACTAGAGAATGAGTTCAAAAAAAATTTGAATTATGAATATCAACATTGGAGTCTAAAGGCCTTCATTTTAGTAGAGCTAAAACTAAATACATGGAATATAATTTTAGTAGCAGTAGCTCTAGTGGCAGAGTTGTAACCATGGGTGATCAAATCATTAAAAGATGTGAACGTTTTAGATATCTCAGGTTTATTATTCACGTGTTGGTGATATGGATGAGAATGTTATTAGTAGAATTCAAGTTGGTTGAAGTAAAGGAATGCATCGGACCTATTTTGTGATAAAAAAGTACTGCTTAGATTGAAAGGAAAACTTATAAGATGGTGGTGAGGCCTGCAATACTCTATGACACAAAATGTTGGCCTTTAAATAAGAAGCATAAAATAAAATTAAGTGTTGCTGAAATGAGAATACTTAGGTGTATGAGTGGCTTGACACTTAGAGACAAAATACAAAATGACTATACACATGATTAGGTTAGTGTAGTTCCACTGGCGAATAAGATTAGAGAGACTCTTCTTAGATGGTTTGGTCACATTAAACTTCGATCATTTGATGATCTAATTAGGAGAGTATACATTTTAGATTCGACTTATGGTAAGAAAGACAGAGGTAGACCTAAAATAACTATGATATATTGTATAAAAAAAGATCTTATTATATTAGAATTAAATGAAAATATGACACTAAAGAGGACACAATGGAGAAAAAGATTCATGTAGCCGACCCCACTAAGTGGGATAAATGTTGGTTGTTGTTGTTGTTGTTGTTGTTACTGTATAATGTATTATGTATGCTTGAAAAAATTTATATTATTTTTAAAAAGTTAAACATAGTTTTCATATGATATAAAACAACTTAGGTAGCATAAATTAAAAAAAAAGAAGAGAGTAAATTATACGCAATAGATATTGTTAAATCCTAAATTGTCCTTCGTGAACACGCCTTGAGAGTTAGAGTCGAATGAAGTAGGAAAGTGGAAGTGTGAAATAAGTCCAAAGTTCACTGTAGGGATAACAAGGAAAGGTCTCTTTCTCCATCTTTTTTTCTCATATTTATAGAGGTGTATTTGTACAATTACAAAAATGAGAGAATGGTTATTAGTAGGTTCATGTGCCCTCCATCAAAATTCTCACTTATTAGATAAAACTTTACCGGGATCTCCCTCGCTGGATGCGGGCACCCGAAGGACGGTTTCATTGGTTTTGAGACCTCATTCCCTTTGTATTTGAATGTCGAGTGGTTCATGGTTAATACTGGCGACGACCCAAAGATAACAACTTTTATATTGCTCCAAGTTTCCTCGGACTGTGATTTTTTCTTCATCGCCAAAAAACTTTACATTCACATGGTACATATATGCTACCACCTACTAGCTGTTTCGCAATGGCCGACCGAAGATGGCGTTGTAGGTCGATGGTGATTCCACCACCAGAAAGCTCTTTGTGTTGGTAAATTGTTTTTCTCATTCTCCCTACGAGAAGGGCAACACAACCACGCCTAGGGCTTCATTTCCTTTGCTATAGAAGCCGAATAATGGATCAACTGGTGTGGCCAGTCGGTCAGCTATGAGCCTCATTTTGTTGAACACTATTTTGAACAGAAAGTTTGTTGAGCTCCCGGTGTCGACCAGAATGCTGCCTACTTGGTAGTTGTTGACAAGGGCTGCGTTCATGCGTACCGGCCCACCCGCGGGCTCCTCCACTGTGACTTTCTGTTATCACTGTGTATGTGGTTTGATAGTGATAAACTCCTTCAACTTTTCGGTCTTAATAAGCTCCTACACCATATTTTTCAAATGACGTCACTCCTCAGTGTCGTGCCCATGATCTCAATGGTTGGTGCAAAACTTATTTGAATTGTGCAATGTTGGTGTTGTCTTCAATGGAGGGGCCTTATTGAAGTAGTTCTAGTTTTGGATGGCTTAGACTAGTTCGATCATCGACACATTCAAGGGTGTCGATCCTTGCATCTCTTGATATACGTGCGGTTGCTTGAAGTATTGAGACGATCACTGGTCGGAGGGGCGTTGTTTTTGTCCGTGGGTGCATCAGCTGCCCTTCTGGTTTTATCGGGTCCCTGATTGCAACTTGATCGTCAGTCAAGGACTGAGTCACTTGTTGGCCTCAATCATCCTCCTGATCATTTCGCTTCTGTGATCGGGGGTCATATGTTCTTAGTTTATTTTTGAGGACTTTATAAGATCTTTTTTGACAACAATGTGATCATTTGCTAATTCTAATACCTCCACAAAGGTTTTTGGCTTAAGTAAGTTCATGTCATATCTGAACCTTGTTGTTGATCCCTTGTTTTAGATCGATCTGGCAATGAGAGGCTCCAAGTTCTTCACCTCTAACATTTCCTTTTGGAAGCGAGCCCTCTGCTTGATCTGAAGCAGTGCCTCTATATCTATCCTTGGCTTATGCACATTAGCAAAGTGCGTTAGGAAGAGCTTCTAGAATTTGAATAACGATGGGATGGCTCCATCAGTAGGTTGTCAAACCATCAAAGTGTGGCTTCTTTCAGCGTAGTCAGGAATAAACAACACTTCATGGCTTCTTCGATCTGCAGGACTCCAACAGTAGAATAAAAAAACTCGAGGTGGTCGGTTGAATTGTTTTTCCTCTATAGGGATCAAAGTGAGGAATCCTGAGTTTTTTCGGGGTATTTTTTCTATGATTTTTTTAGAAGAAGGCGTTGCCCATGACTGGCCAAGCGACCGCCTGATGTGGGACTGCCGACGTAGATGCTGCGTTGTTTATTGGGTGAGAATCTTCTGGACCTTTCGTTGGCCGGTAGTCGGGCTAATTGTGTGGTGTTGGTGGATTGAAAAGGGGAGCCTCTAGGGGTGGGTTCCCCGAGACACTCTCTCCATGGGCGGTTGTCATGTGTTCAAGATCATGACCGCCCAAAGAGCCGCTAAATGGTCCATTATTTGCATTCTCAGTGCCTGAACTTCTTCACGTATATCTCGACATAGTCTCCCTATTGAATTCCGTTGGTGCCAAATCTTTCTGCGGGTATACTCTTTTGTCGTTGGCTCCTCTTCTCTTTTGGGGCATGTCCACGCTCACAACACCATATTTTCGGATTTTGAACCCTAAGTTGTCCTTCTTAAACAAGCATCGAGAATTAGAGCCAGATGAAGGAGAAAAGATGAAGTAGGGAATAAGTCCAGTGTTTAGTGTAGCGAGAATGAGGAGAGGTCCTTTTATTCATCATTTTGTCTGCTATTTATAAAGACATATTTGTACAATTACATAAAAAAGGGAATGGTTAAGAAAATTGTTCTTAATACGATTGATACACTACTTAATTATATAAATTTGATACCATATATGTATTACAATTTAAATTATAATATAGTGATAATTAGCCGATCGATGTGTTTGATTTCAGTCAGTTGAGGCGACCAGTTGACTGGTGATCGCGTCTTACCAAGTAGATGTCGGTCGGTTTAGACACTCAGTCCAATGGCGATGTCGCCTATTGACGTAAAAGTGGGTCGACCGACTAGCTTGCGATCAAAGGATCTTGCGTGTGTCTCGGTCTGTTGGGATTGCGGGCGTGATTCACCAATTGAATCTCTCGCAACAGTGTACCTGTCCATTCTAATCACGAGGTTGTTTGTTGGATGTTAGGATGCCTTTACTGTATGACTCTCATGGGGCCATTCAAGTGCTTTAAGATTTGTGCTACAATTTTTGTGTATATGCATATAATAGGCATGTAACTGCCTCAAGTAAATAGAGATGTATAATCTTTGATATTCTTTAAAAATAAAAAAAACATAAGCGTATACTCTCTTGAGGAAAAAGCATGGGTACTTAATCCCACTCAATCGGGACCTTTCAAAGTTGCAGTCAATGAGCATTCAACGTCGGATCTTGAGTCATCGCGCACGAATTTCACAGCGTGTTCGTCCTTCTTTCCTCTTTCCGATCTGAGTTGCAGGTTCTTCACCTTCTCGAAACCCTAACTAACATTCGGAAACTGATGCAGATTGATCAATACGAACTCGTTTTTTTTTTTCTGCGGTTTGAATTGTTTTTGTAATCGTTAATCCGTCGGCGAAAATTCGTACTTCTTAGGGTGATGAACGAAAACTCAAATCCAGTAGTGGAAGTGAAGCTTGTGGCTGCTGGAACCTATCCGCCGGGCTGCCGAGACCTGGATTCGACTGTCTCACACCAGGTGCTGGCTTCGATGCCGATGCCGGGGCAGATCGACGGGGGAGATGTGGGCATGGGCTCTGACGGGCAGGGGATCTTGCGCTACGCGCGAGAGCATGAGGAGAACGATGAGGGCGGCGTGGGACACGGAATGGGTGAGGACCACGACGGCATGATGGAGAGCGAGGAGATGGAGGGTGACGGACCGTCCGATCCGGGTCATCCGGGTGATCCGCAGGGAATGATAGTTCCGCATGGCGGAAGCAACCAGCTCACGCTTTCTTTTCAGGGCGAGGTTTATGTGTTCGATTCTGTCTCCCCAGAAAAGGTTCCTTTCTCTCTCTCAATGTCTACCTCCAAGATAATTGTCACGTTTTTGGCCCAAAATAACGAAACTTAGTTTTGGAGGCATTTACGCATCTTACAGGTTCAGGCAGTGCTTCTATTGTTGGGAGGACGGGAAATCTCTACTGGCTTGGCTGCATTTCCTTCAACTGCAGATCTAACCACTAAGGTATTGCTAAGCCAGCCTTAAATATTTTACCTTTGAGTCAAGTGACATAGTATTTCTGTTATCTTCTTATAAAGAGGTGTAGGGTTCAAATCCTTCTGAAGAAGTTGATTGTATTAGATTTTTTTGGGGAGAGATTAAATTGTGAATTTCTTTGGTTTTTGTAGCAACGGTCAACTCTTCCTCATAGAGTTGCTTCTTTGATGAGATTTCGTGAGAAGAGGAAAGAGCGGAATTTTGATAAGAAGATACGCTATACTGTTCGGAAGGAGGTTGCTCTTAGGTAACTTCAGGCGCCATCTCTTGTGAGCTAATGCTGTTATTGATGCTAAAATCTGCATGATTATTCTTTATATTTTCTAATTGGACACCTTTTTTTGTTCATTTATTTAATGCTAGATTGATATTTCGAATTACTTAAAATTGACAATCCTCTAATATTTAGTGCATAGAACTAGCAATGTATCTACTGTGTTCCGTGTGTATTTTTATGGACATTTTCATGAATGTGAATATTGTGTGGTTTCACATGAAACCATATAATTTTTATAGGAATAAGTATATAATGGTTCTTTGTGACATGTTTCATCATGTGCCTTTTCTTTCTTAAGATTTCATATTAAGTTCAAGATTGGTTAAGAATAAATGAGGAACCATATAATTAAATTTAGCTCAAACATATCTACGGTTCACTCAAGATTATCGAAGGTAGGTTAATTAAGCTCTATCATTATTTAATAATCTTTATTGTTTTTCTTGTCTTTTGTGCTTATGCTAGTAACTATCTAGACTTTCATATTGCTATTTTGTTGTCCTTTGAGTAGCAATCTAGGTTAAAATAATCCTAGAATGTCCATAAGTTACCATCATTTTCTTTCATTTGTAGATTTTATCCCTTGTTTTCATCATCTCTCTCCGACTTAAAAGCTCTACTATAATGAATTCTCATGAGGTTTTTCAAGAGTGTTAGGTGCCCTCAAGGCAATATCAGTGCCCAATACTCAGGGTGCTGCGCACCACATTGTTAACGTGCTTAAGGAAAGTAAGAAGCTTAGAAGAAAATACTTTTATCACTCAATGATATTACAATAATTATTTCAAATACTTTTAAACTTAAAATGATCATTATTATATTAGATTATGATAGAAAAAAATAATTAATTGAAGTTTCATTTGATTCCTATTTTAAAAATCTAGCGAAATTGGCTTTTCTTAAACAAGCATAATGAAGCTACTTAGGACCTGTTTGGCTGTAAGTATTAGGGTTATAATGCAATCCAAATGCAGGGATTTTGAAATTTTAGATGTTTGTTTTGAAGAAAGAAATTCAAAGCAATTTAATGAGGAGTTTGGAATAACTGCTGCAGTTCATTTCAGCCTATTCTGAATTTGATCGAATTGGGTGAATTTAGAATGCATTGTGTACGTCTACGCCCAAATTGTGTGATGCCGAAGACCTCACAACCTCGTTGCAGATGACTGCCAACATTGACTTCCAAAGTTCTCTTGATCTTAACAAGATTGTCACATTTGTGACCCACACTAGCTGTGGGATGTCTTTCATGACTGTTGAAGCTATTGAACCTTCATTGGCCTTTCCACAAGCACCTACTGGTGCCCTAATTAAAAAGAAAGAAACAATTAATTGATTCAATTTTTGGAAAACCCATTTCTTAAATTCCTAAATTTATTTTACAACAAACAGTTTTCCAAACACCATTTCTTAAATTCCTAAATTTATTTTACAACAAAGCAAGGCATCACAAAGTATTTTAAATGCTTATAAATGCTTAAGGAGGCGTTTGGTTGCTTTATGGTAATGCAAACCAAATGCAGGGTGATGTTTGGTTGAATAGCATGCAGTGTAACTCAGGCTTTAGTTCAAATTTTGTGTATTTAAAAAATTGGCCAATTTTAAAATACACCACACAAGTTGTCGTGGTCGTCGCTGCCACCCGCCTTTATTACCTCTACAGGCTGCCATCAGGTTTTACATTTATTTCATTTTACTTTAAATCCAACACCAAAAAAAAAAAAAAATTTCTAAATATGTTTTACACCTAACCAAATAACTCTAAAATATTTCTAATACATGCTATTTCAATTACATTGCATTTTTTTTCTTTTTTGGCAAGTCAAACGGGCTCTTAAATTTGCTTTACATTACACTTAAATTATCCTTAAATTTTAAATATTGCAAACAAACAAACCTATTATGTTTGTAGCAGTTTCAAGTATCTTCTTTGTTACTATCTATTACTTTGTATCATAAATTTCATAATTAAGTTTGTAAATATTTCTTAATTTCCTTTGACTCATCTTCTCACCGTCAAGGTTTGCTACTCTAGCATGTAGAGATTTACTTTATTGCCCCTAGGTTTGATCTAACTTATTTCGTTGTGTGCATCCTTGTTTTTTCAACCTCTCATGCTCTCCTCTTTTTTTTTTTGTCCAATTGCACCTACTCAAGAGATTTGTGGGACAGTTAATGGCCTTTTTTCACTCCGCCCTAGCGCAAAACTAACATTTGACAAAATTGGTTCCAAGACAATGACTGCATGCGCATGTCAATGTGCTTAATTTATTTATACTGATCCAATAACATGTCAAGCTAAACATACATCACGGTTTACTTGAAACTTTCTCTTAAACTATTTTTTAGATTAGACAGGTTTGAAAGTAAACTCTTTTAGCAATAGATGTGATAACTGAACACATCTATGTTCTCCTTAAAAATAGAGTACTAAGGAGGCATATATCTCTCTCTCTGCTGTTGAGTCCTACCATGCAATATTGTGGCATGGTAATGGTTATGCTCCCCATTGTTGGATGGGATTAGCAACTTTTATGTTTTAAAAAGGATTTTTCTGTTTGCCAACTGCACATCATTACATTTGCATGAACTTCCTCCTATTTTCCGTTAGGATTGTTACTGTCAGATGGAAAGAAATCCATATGCCTTTTACGCTTTATTCAGGCTATGTCTGTGAGATCTATCCTATGAAGTATTTCATCAACTATTCTGGAATTTTATGCAATATCTTTGTCTTGGACATTTTGCCGTTTTGGACATTTTGCCGTTTTTTAAGTGGAAAAGAATATTATTGATTTAGAAAGAGGCACTCATATAAAGTTATGCTCAATCTATTGCAGTGTTAGGAACTTTATATGATAATTTTTCTTATAATTGAAACATTAGTGGGCTTCTCTTTTTGAGAATCAGCGAATTGGTTTGATAATATATCGCGATTTGTACTTGGAAAATCTACGAGGATAGAGGTTTAAACATAAGAATGGTGAATCTGGCAAGGTGGATGTGGGAGAGTGGGGCAATGGAAACTTAATAGTTTTACACTAGTGCAAACATGATTTAAAATTGTGCATTATGAAGGCCGTCTCTACATATTTTTTTAATATTTATAATGGGGTTTACACCTCGCGTAATGTGAGACCCTCTTCAAAGCTTGCATTATCTTAGTTCTGATGAGATGTGCATGATGAGAGCTATAGAGTTTTTTTAAAAAAAAATAAATATGAGTAAACTAACTCTAATAAATATTCTTTACTTACTCATATAATACTTAATTGAGGATGTAATGGAAGTTATTACTTATTACTATCTGCATTATCATTATTTCAAAATCTAATAAATATTCTTGTTAAGTAATATTGATTAAATAAGAGTAAAATAAATTATATTTAAGATGAGGAGATGGTGATGAAATAAAGTTGTTGTGTTTGCTATTTTTGACCATGTGCATTTTGTATGTTTTAATATGTTTTCCGAACTCTTCTATTTGTTGCCTAGTGGGGTGGTTTATGCTGCGAGTTATTGTTAGGCAGATTTTTATGTTTATCAAAATAATATTACTTCAAAAGATAAACTTCCTAATTTCCTCAAATAGGATCACATTGGCGAGGTTGTCATCATTCTGAAGTTAGTGTCTCCTTTTAGGGTGATTTTGTTTCACAATTTATGTTTGTATCTCAATTTTGCTGGTCGGTTGCATTGAAGTGCATTTTGATATTTCTTTGTTTTGAACTCAGTTTTTTTTTTTTTTTTTTTTTTTGGCTATGACGTGTTCATTTTTATCCATGCCAATATTAATTTTGAATTACTTTATTATTATTTTATTATTAAAATTAAATTTTCACCCATTATTCAATTAATTTGATATTTTTATTTTTTTTATTAAAGTAAACAAACAAAACTAAAGTGAATTATCCATTTATTTCAACCAAACACTTGAACTCAGTTTTTGAAGCGAGGTTCAATAATTTTTTAATATTTTTAAACAAACTAGTCTTTATGGTATACATTACTGTTTTTTTCCCTACTTTTATTTTGACTTACATTTGGCAGGGATTAAGCTTTTGAATTTCCATTAATAATTTTAAAAATTAAACTTTCTTCAATCACTCTGCAGTAGCTGCATGTTTGAGGAGTGCAAGAAGAAGGCGTGAAAAATTTTGGGAATTATTTTGACTGCAATTGGCAGCGATTAAGCTTTTGGATTTTCTTTAATAATTTTAAAAATTAAAATTTCTTCGATCACTCTGCAGTAGTTGCATGTTTAAGGAGTGCAAAAGAAAGCGTGAGAAATTTTGGTAATGGATTTGATATGTAAGATAGCATGAAAGATGATAGTTTGCAATATGATCTTATTTATAGGAGAATGGATTAAAATGTTAGCCTGGTAGTGTTTCAATAGTAGCTCTGGTTTTTGGTGCTATTGAATAGATAGTCTTGTGAAAAAGTGCCTTTATTATGTCATTTTTAGCCATTGTTTTTTATAATTCATATAGAATTTCCTGCTACTGAATATGGATGAAATGTTAGGGTGTTCAGCCTTTTAATTCTTTCAACATGAAAGAGAAGGGTTAATTTTTTTTCGTTCTCTGTTGTTGTGTCAGTGCGGCACCCTTAAATGTGTATATTTTAATTTTATTTGTCAACTTTGTAGAGATAAAGGCATGTGAACCTTTATTTGTAGATAATTTTTAGTAGTAGCACTTTATTATTATTATTATTATTATTATTATTATTATTTTGTATTTCAAGAGATCTGGTGCTTTATATCTCTTATCTTATTACAGGATGCAGCGGAGTAGGGGCCAGTTCATATCATCAAAATCAAAGTCGGAAGATGCAACATCTGATGTTAATGCTTGGACTAACCAGCACTGGGACTCAGTAGAAAAACAGCCCCCATCGGCAGCAGAGTAGTTCCTTTTCTTAGTCTCCAGATATGCAAAATAAAGTTCCTGGAAACATTTTTTTCTTTTCTGCATGCCAGTTTGTTTGTCTATTGAGAAAATCATTTGTTACGACTATTATGTACATTTATGTGTAGGTTTTAGCAATTTTGAATTTTTTGGGGCAGAGGTTTTTTAACATTTGCAGCTAGCTCTGAATAATGAGCAATGGGAATTTGCAGGGACACAATAGGCATTTTTGCCTCACCTTTTTATGGCTTTATATAATTTATTTAAGAGAATTGCTACACTACCCGAAAACGCTGCTAAAAAAATTAGACTTTACCAACAATCAAAATAGAGAGAGTGCTTTATATTTTTTTCTTGGGGTGTGCTTTTTATTTGATTACATAATGAAAAGCTGATGTTGCTCAAGCTTAAATGTAAGTTTTTTTATGGGAGTATAGTTTTTCATCTTTTTTGAACACATTGTTTAAAAAGGCGCTAGAGGCTTACGCCTCAATGCTCACAAAAAAAAGTCTCGAGACTTGAGCCTCAATCTCACTAGTGAGTCTTAGGCGATGAGATGTTTGAGGCAGTGCTTCGATCAACTTTTGCACCAAAAAAATAATATTGTTCTATATTATTAATATATATATATATATATATATAATATTATATTATATTTATTTGATACAATGCTTCAAAATAGTTGAGAAATTATTTAAGTATCATTACCTGATTATGTTATTGTTTATTCTCTATTTCAATTTATGTTGGATTTCAGATTAATTGATAGTAAGAAGAAAATTATAGTGAATGAAGAATATTTTAAAGTTGCAAATGAGCTATAATTAGATGATAGTAAATATGCGACTCTTTTGAAGATGATGAAAGCAGGGATTAGGCCACTATGGATATTGAATCCCATGAAATATTTAAATTTTAAGTGAATGTTTAACTACAATTACATTTCAAACTTCTATTTTATATTAATATTTAAGATTAAAATTTTTTATTAATGTTTTTATGATAATAAATTAAATTAGTATATCAATGATTTATATAATGTTTATTTACTATTTTTAAAATTTATAACTTTCTTTTTTTTTTGGGGCTTATGCTCAATTTGCCTCGGGGGTTATGTATATCTCTTCACCTCACTAAGCCAAAACACTTTGATTCTCTATTTCGCCTTTCCAAATTTAAAATTAATGTTTGCTTGCTTTTGTTTCCTACTCCATTTTTACTGCATCTGGTATTTTATCCTTTTCTTCGCCGTGTTTTCGCTTTTTGTATCATAATCAGAGAGTTCTGCTTACATTTTGTTTTGTATTGTGTTCATGCTATTCTAGGTTGTTTTGCGCTGTTTTTTGACCCTCTGTTCTATCTGTTATTTAGTTGCCATCATTGTGGCATTAGTGCCAAGTCTACACCAATGATGCGGCGCGGACCCAATGGACCAAGAACTTTGTGCAATGCATGCGGACTTGTGTGGGCAAATAAGGTATATTTTGAACCATTTGGCCATAATTTATTATTTTTGCAAGCTTTACCGTACTTTTTTTGCTTGCTTGGTTGTGATCATATCCTTATAAGTGCTTTGCAAACTTCTGTATGCTTGTTTTTGAGGTGAGGAAAATTTACATACATAGCACACAATTCTTATATATTTACATGCCTCTCACCTGAGGTTTCATATTGACATAGATAGCACTTAGGTGCTTTAAACCTATGTATGAAAATGTGTATATCATTTTTTAAAACTGGTAATAGTGCTATTAAAGATTTTGAGTGCTATGTTTGTAAATATGAAAGTATAGGTATGAGATATGTATATACCTAAGAATTGTGTGCTATGTATGTAAAAGCCCCTTAAAGTTATTTTAGTTATATATGCTTCAAAAACAGAGGTGAATATTCATAGTAAACCCATGATATAAATGTGGATGGAAAGAAGAGAAATGTTTAACAACAGGATTATAAATCAAATGGTTTCATGATTACACCTTCACTTAGCGTGTTGGACCTGCTCAACTTAATGCAAATAATGTGTGCAATGAACCACGGATGATGGACAATGAATAACGGTGATGCTGGATGACAATGGACGACGGCATCGGTGACCGGCGACGACAGACGACAACCAACAACTCTTTACATAAAGCTATGTATTTGGAATTCATCTAAATCCAATGAATTTAAAATACATGAAAATGAAATAAGGAATGAATTCAAATAGCATTGCTATTTTAAACAACTTCTGGAATTTTTTCGACCAAACGCCTATATTTCCAAAAACGCATCTAAATTTATGAAAAATTTCGTGAATTATTATTTAGTTTTGAAATGATTGAATATCCTAGAGCAAAACTTTCTCAGTTTGGATCTAAATTAAGAGCTAACATCTAATGAGAGGTGACAAAACACTACTTTCCCTCATATGAGCTTGCTTTCCAACTTACATTAGATTTGTAGCAAAAGTAAAATTTTTCACTTGGTAGAGTTTAATGCATCATTTCGTCAAATCATGCAAACTTAATTTTTATACCCACTACATTGTAATAGAAGTAACTACACGATTTACCAAGGCACTAATATAAAATATGTTGCTATTGCTTTAGGCTCCAATTTTTTTTCCAAAGCTTAAATTGGCCGCTACGCAAATGAATCCCTTGGCAGGAATTCGTATTTTGAAGTGTAACAATAGGATAATGAAATTACTGGGGAATTATATTCATTGATCATTTTAGTTATTTTCAACTAACCATATTGAAACTTCCTTAAATGTGTTTGCCATAGTCAATCTTGAATCAATGACTTCAAAACTTTTATTTTTTAAATCAATTTCACTCTTTTCAAAGTCATTATAGAAGTGAGCTTTATGAACATTGTGGCTAAATTTATTTTTAATGCATAAACACTCTCCACTTTATAAACATACAATTTTAAAATCTCATGTGATGTTTTTTTATGGATGTCACACATTTAATTTTGGGTTGACCTTGGGTGTCACTTTTTTTAGAAGTTCTAGTACATGTTTTTAAAAGTAGCGAGAGGAGAATAACTTTAAAACCCATCCTGTAAGTTTATTTCTTTGTTAAATGCAAAAGAATTGAAAGATCTTTATGTGAGAGCTGTCCAAAGGAGTGATTTATGCGTGGGTATTTATATAATTGAAAGATCCAGCCAAAGTGTGATTATACTTAATGTTGTCTATTAAATTTTATCTGATTTCAATGATATACATTTTTATAAACTACAACCACTTAGGGCTGTTTGGTCGTCTGTGAAAGGAACTCATGGCATTCGTCTTGCAGAAGTTTTGAAAATTCAGGTGTTTCGTCAGAATATTTCTAAATGCATTGTAAAATAGTAATATATTTAGAATTCATTCCTTAGTTTATTTTTTGTGTATTTGGAATTCGTCGGATTTGAGTAAATTCCAAATACACAACTCCATGTAGAGGGTATTGTCTGCCTCTGTCGCTGCTCACCGCAACCTGTTGTCGTAGCAGCCCGATGCGGGCCGTCTTTGTCGCATTCACTGCCAGCAAATGTCGCCGCCTCTAGGCGCCAATAATTTATCTAAAACCTCACATTCTTTGAAATACATTATTTTCATATAACTTCAAATCAAACAAAAAAATATATACAAAATCATATATTTATTTTACATTGAATCAAACAACTCCAGTATTCCAAATGCATTACATTCCAAACAAAAAAATATATACAGAATCATATATTTATTTTACACTGAATCAAACAAATCAAACAACTCCAGTATTCCAAATGCATTACATTACTTCTATATTCCATTCATTTTACTCAACATTAATTTCAGCAGACCAAACTGCCCCTTAGAAACTTACAATGTGCCGTTTCATTGATTTCTAGATCATAGTTGCTTATCTGCTACAATACAGCTTGATCCTAAGTAAATTGGTAAATTTTTGGCTCCATAATGATTTTATTAAGGAGAGTATGATTTCTTGTGTAGCTCTTAAATTATTTACTCATAAGATAGATGCTAATTCGGAGGATGTGTGGATTGTATAGCAACATATAAAATTACCATTAAATATCTTTTTCCCATATCCAAGTTAGATGATTTGAGAGAGATGATTTTTAGAGCTTTTGTTGTAATTAAATATAAATAAGCATCTATCAGATACTTGGGATTTTTATATCAATTATTGGATATCAACCAATCTTGATAAAGTTGAAGTAATAGTATTCATTAGATACAATGTACCATGTTTGCCTTACCGATGGGGAATATAATTGGTCAGAATATATTAGTCGAGCTTACAATCACGTATATTCTAAATTGCTTGATTTTAATGAAGTATTTGATGTTACCTGTGATACAGTAGGTGTGGGTTTTGAGTTTGTTTTAGGTCAAGTGGGACATTTGATTTTTTACTTTAGTGAGAATTTGGAAGAAGCTGCGCAAAAATATTTAACTTATGATAGGAAATTTTATACAATTGTACAAACACTTTAGTAGAAGAGATATTAGTTATTACCTAAAGAGTTATTCTATATATTGATATTCAAGAGCTAAGGTATATAAATTTATAAAATAAATGTGAAATAGATCTGTTAAAGAGGTTGAATTTTGGCAATAATACACCTCTATAGTGAAAGATATTTCTAGGGTTGAAAGCAAGCATCCTGGTGCATTGAGTAGAGATTGTTTTACGCACAAGCAGTGAAAAAGTAAATTGATTGATCATATTAAGGAAGAATTGCCTACTTGTAAAGACTATTGAAATATATCAGAACTTAATAGTGAAATCATATGTGCTTAAAAAAAAAGTTTTGATTAAGGATATATTTCTCTTAAGGAAGCTCATTCATTCTTGATCATCCCTAAGAGATTCATTGGTTCCAGAATTACGTATTTGTTGTGCTGCAAGATATTTTGGTCCAGATAAAGTTATAGCTGTTATTAATAATAAGACATTATTAGCCGAGTTTAAGAAAAAATGAATATGATGTTTTTCACATTATTAGCCAAGCCAGTTGGCCTTAATTTTAAATAAATAAATAATTAATTATAATAATTATGCAAGTTGTTGGGGCCTTATTTGTGATTTTGTAACTTTCCAATGCACCACTTGGCTGTTCTGCATCAGCCGTTCGTTTAAATTGCTGTTATGCAACAATTATTGTCCTAATATAATTATTTTATATCATTTCTTTCTTTCTGAAACCTGTAGGGAACCATGCGGGACCTTTCAAAAAATCCATCTACGCCCATTCAAACAAGACTGCCCGAAGCAAAGGATTTGGTGAGCTAATTACTTTTAATAAAAAAAAAGTTTTTTTTTTATTGGTTTAATTTGAAAACATCTCTTGTTTTTCATTGTATTGTTTGAGTGTTTTCATTAACTGTTTTGCAAAGCTTATTGTGAACTTCTTTGAAACTAGGAAAGTGTATAGAAGTTATACAGAAGCTAAATTTATTTTTACGGAAATTTACATTCTCACCACACAATTCTTATATATTTACATGTCTAACTCCTAAGGTTTGATATTTACATTTATACGACCATGATGCTATAAACCTATGCATAAAAAGGTGCATTTGACTTTAAAAAGTTAGTTGAAGTAGTTTTTCTGATGTGATGTTAAATATTTGAGTGCTACGAATGTAAATATTAAATTTTAGGTGTTAGCATGAAAATACTTTAGAATTGTGTGGTATGTATGTAAATGCCTCATTTTATGTTTATCTGTTTTCGCTGGAACAACTATGGAGATTATTACTAAGATACTACAGTAGGAGTAAAAGAGCATTAGGTTTCACAGCACATGCCTCGTGGTGGGTTCATTTGGTTGCTGTATCTTTGAAATTATTTTTTGAAAAATGAGAATATGATAGGTTCTCTATTTAATGTTATGCAGTTAAGAGGTCAAAATTGATTTTCAAGTTTACAAAGTCTCTTAAAACTTCTCAAACATAAAAGTAGAAAGAAATCATTATTTTCTTAAACATGTTTCTAACTTGAACTAGATGACCACTTCTTAACAAATGCTTAAGAATATATACTCAGAAGTTTCTCACCTACTAAAGCTAGTTGCTTTGAATTGAACGCTTCTTTGCGCATTGATTTACTAAGGGCTTACTTGAGATCAATTTAGCCTGACAACATCATAGGACTAAACGTCAGGTTTGGCTTGGAAAGTTGTTGATGCGTGTGGTTTTATCATTTCATTCGCTGAGAGGATATTTTCATGATTTGCTTACTTTTTTGAAATTTCTTGTCATATGAATTTATGCAAAATTTAGAAAAAATATTATTGGGAAATTTACACAATTGTTCTGTATTTACCTGTATGATACTTTCCCTAAACTTATGCTTGAAAAGGTATATTCAACTCCTGAAAAGCTTATAATAATCTTATGTTTTGATGTGATATTAAATACTTAAGGTGGTAGTAGGTATGTAAATTTGAAATTCTAGGTGTTAGATATGTAAATACATGTGAAAAGTGTGCTATGTAAATATGAAATTCTTGGTGTTAGATATGTAAATATATGAGAAAAGTGTGCTATGCAAGTAAATGCTCTAAAATTATTTGCATAATTATGTAGTTCAAGCCATGAATGTTGAGCTTCTATTTTTCTAATTTGGAAACAAATTTTCTTTATTATTCTAGAGTGATTCTGCAGCAGCAGACATGCAGTACCTACCTTTGACTGCCAACGGCCATGATTCATCCTAATATATACTTATATCTGGATATGAGAGAATTTGTTGTATTGTGTTTATTTGTGGGAGGACCGAGCGGGAGATTATGACACTCTGTACCTTTGTGATAGTTCGCATTTTTAGCTAATTCGCCAATATTTCAGATAGAATTCCCATCCTGTATCATGTTATAGTTGTTTTCTATATTGATTTATAATAATAATTATTATCATTTTTATTTGATTGGCTTTATTGAAACATTTTAGACGTGTGTGTTACTTTAGTGCCTATTTCTTGCATTTACATGCATGCCACCCAATTCTTATGCATTTACATATCTATCACCTAAATTTTACTTTTTTTTATATTAATACCGCACAATCTTTGTATAACATATTTAAATATCACTTTTAATTTTTATAAAATGAAATATATTTTTTCATGCATAGATAAAGTTATATATATATATAGTAATGTTATTCTTCTTTTAGGAGGGAAGATGAGGGATCAAGAAGTTCGATGTAATCTTGGTGTGCTGTTGGGAATCAGAATTGGTGTTGACAATATATATGTTGTTTTTTAGTAGCTAGATCATGCATCTACTTTATGAGTGACAATAATCACGAAGTTGGTGAATTGCATGTGTCAAACTTATTGATGATAGTGTGCATCGACAGCTTGTAATTGTATAGATGGCTTGCATTAGGCATCGGTGAAGTCGAGCGATGATACATGTGAGATAATGCATCACTTATGTGGGCTTGGGTTTGAGTCTAACTCGAAATTGATTAGAACCCAATGTGAATATTAAACTGACCATAAAGTTAAACTCTATTTTAATCAAATCACTTAAATCTGTCGACTCGAAGTCTACTTATATAAATGGCTTAATATATAGCATAACAATTATTTGGATCAATTTCGAGTCAATCTTGTGCTAGTTTTGAGTTGGCGATTGATTTCAAGTTAGCGAGTCAGTTTCCACTCAATATCAAGTTCGTGGTTAAGCTCGAATTTGACACAAAATTGAACTTAATAAGATTCATAATGTGAACTCAACCTTAGAAATATATTTGGGTAAACCCAATTCTAAATTTTTAAGTTCAATAGGAGTTGATGCATCGGGTCAGTTTTTTACGCCCCTAGTTAATGATTACTTTTACTTGCATCTTAATGGCTCACAAATTAGTGAAGAATTAACTATAAACACTTGATCCAATCTTCATTTGTGGTTATATTCTTTATTAATAGTGGATGGTGACCATTCCATTCTTTAATAAGATGTGTTATATTTCTCTTTCTCACTTAAAGCCTTTAATTGCCACTTGGAAGCAAAACTAATCTTTCCTCCCATTAGCTTTTATTTATTTATCATCCTGGCCTTTTGACCTAAGAAGAGACAAAATGGGGAATTGAAAGGGACTGTCATGTGGCCCAATGGCACACCATTAATTGCCTCACAAGCAATCTATGAATAGTATTTATTTTAAGATATTTTCAGTATTCTCTGCCCTCAAGCCTTTCCTCTATTCATATAGATGGAGGATCACAATATCTATATCTATAAAAGGATGATAGGTGCATTAATGGACTACACCTCTTTTAAGCTCTAATGTCTTCAAGACATGATTTTTATAGTTGAAATATGATGACCTTCTTTGTGTAACAACTTTTATTTGGTGGTGGTTCCAATCAAACATATGCAATCGTATCTATCTTTATTTTGAATTTTGCAAAGGGAAATTTTGATTGTTCAAAGATGATGTCATGGATAAATAAATAAATAAAGAGATGAAGTTGGGTGTGGTCTGAATTTAAGGTTCTTCCTTTCACTCTTTTAGTGTACAAAATTGTCGAACATCATTCAGAAAGTAAAATACACGTTTTCATGCATAAGTTCTTACAACAAAGTGTTATAAATATAAATAACAAATTTTAGCTGGTATGTATGTAAATTCATAAGAACCGTGAAGTGTGCAAGTGAATTTCCCTAAAGAATGTAACTTTGAGATCATGTTCTTTTTTTGCACAAACAATAATTTATGGAATTAGCTTTCTTCTACACTAGGTTAAGCAAATCAAATAAAAATCGAATCTAATCAACTTACTTTATAAATAATATATTCAAAATATTACTCCCAAAGATTTAATGTTTTCAAAAGTCTATAAAAAAGCATGTTTTATTCCTTTTTATATGTTAAGCTTCACTTTTTTTTTTTTAAAGAGATGCTTTCCTTTACATTAAATAAATAAATAATTAATTAAAAAATAAAATAAATAAAAGAGAAGAGAACATATGAAGTCATGAGGCTAAATTAATAAATAATTAATAATAAATTAAATGCAAAATAAAATAAGTGTTTTTGCTTAATTTTAAAAAAGATTTTGAAGCTATATCATTCAAAGCATAATTTTTAGGCAGAATAAAGGCTTCAAAATTGTTCTGATGGAATGAAATGTCAAAAGATAGAATTTTCCCCTTTTCCTTAATTTTTATTTATTTATTAATGTTATTTTTGGAAACAGAGGGTAATGGAGAATATTGGGGGCTTCATTAATTAAATGAGATGAAAATGCATAGTTTTTTTACAAATCTAACACCAAAATTTTCATAATTACATTATGTGTAACACTAATAGAAGATATTATATGAGAACACATAAAAAATATCACTAACTAATTTTTCCAAGTGAAATGAACTTTTTTCTTCGAAGGATTATATGCACCAAAGTTTTATAAATATAAATATCAAATTTTCGTGGAAGGATGTTTGTTATATGTACCAAAGTTTTATAAATATAAATATCAAATTTTCGTGTTGGATGTATAAATATGTAAGAATTATGGGGTATATGTGTAAATTTTCCTTTTTATATTGAATAATGTAGAAGGTATTAATATAGTTGATGTGTAGTCAACAATTTTTTTATCGAGCATGGATCTCAATACATTTTTCTAAACAGAACTTCAAATTTTAAATTTAAGTTCATCTAATCCCCAATTTTAGCAAGTTTATAGGCAAACTCATCGTCTAGACAAGGTGAACCAAATGATACTAAAATTGGTCCAATTTGAGTCCAATCAAGCCCATGTCAAGCAATTATAGTGCATTTTAGGACTTTGGACTGTCAATTTAATGGTCGTATGAACTCCAAATTTGACATAGTAGCAGTTAAATCAAGTGCCTCGACTAAAGGAGTCCACAAACCCAAGATTGCTTAATTTTGAGGTTATTAAAGCACTCAAATTGCTAAAAAAACTCTTATGATCAAGGACATTTAATATGTGTCATCTAACCAGGTGTTTAGGGAAGTTATTTGCTAAATGACAAAAATTTCCAAGCTTATTCTAGACTAAAAACCCAACAATAAATTTTAGCCTTCGTAGTCATCAACCACTATTAACCGCCGTCTACCCCTCCTTAAAAATGTTGTATCACAAATACAATTGTAACGTACAACGCCCGGACTTAAAAAGACTTGATAATAACTTCCGACCTCCATAATTGTCAGCCACTGTAAATCACCACACATTAGCCACCATCGGCCACTGTTGGTTGTGATCACCTGTCATGAACAATCTCTTGCTTTTGGTGAGCCCTACTTGCAAATATCATATTCCAAACATGGATGTAGTGTAAAACACTCGTACGAAAACTTGATAACTTCTGATCTCCATGGTCAGTGGCCAACGTCGACCACCGCCCGTCTCCGTCGTCGACCACGTAGGTCATCATTGTTGTCACTAGCAACCCCTGATTTTAAATTTCATATTCTAAATATAGTTGTAACATATAACACTCATACTTATGGCAAGAAAAAAACTTCTGGCTTTCATAATCACCAATCATCTTCAATAACTACCTGCCGATACTGCTTGTTGTCACTGACCTCCAACCCTTGGTTGCAAATGTTGTAAACCAAATATGGATGGAACATAAATGATCCGCATTAAAGTACTAGTAATCATTGCTTACGATTCGATTGTTGTAGCCAGAATACGACGTTTGTTCCTAACACATCTACTCTCTTCTTTTCTTTCTTTTTTTTGGCATTGTATAAAGACAAATATAGTGTTTTGTGTAGAAGTGTAACCCTGTTCTCCATGAGTGATTGGGTCCAAACATCAACTTGGTATTTGTAACCAACTATGGTCACAACTTCCGATTATGACTTTTGTGGTGAAGTGTCGGACTTGTAGTCATCAACTACATTATTTCTTACTATTTTCACAGTTTTCAATTACAATCTATGTGGTCGATTGATTTTCTTGTAGCCACCGACTACAACTTTTATTTTTATAAACAATTATTATTGTTATAACTTTCAAATACGGGCTCTACGGCCAATTATTGCTCTTGTAGTCGCTGATTACGACATTTATGGCAAACTATTACCATTACTGCCTCTAACTACGACATTTGTATTGAACTACCATGACTGCAACCACTGACAACCGTCTTTATGAACAATTGTTGTCTTTGTAGCAGGGCACTACGTGATTTTTTGGTTAACTATTATTTTTATAATTAAGGAACACATTTGTTGTGACTTAATTATAGCTATTTTAGGTAAACTATTTTTATACATATTGTGATTATCAGCTTTGGAATTTCACCTTCTTTAACTCAATAAAAGAGTATTATATATTTATAATTACATAGTGAATTACTTTGCTGATACATGCCTCGTAGATTTTTTATTTTCCAAGATTTTTTCCACGTAAAATTTTGAAGTCTCATTTTGCTACTTTTTATTTATGTGTGTGTGTGTGTTGGATCTTTGTTCAATACTAAGATGCTAAATAATCACTCTATCATCGTGAATCATCATACACACAACAATAATAAAATAAAAAATGAGTTATCAAAGCCATTAAAACATCAATGGTGATTAAAACATCATAGGTGATTAAATTCTACCAAGTAAGTTGAAAGAAAATGAGATATAATTTCTATGAAGAAATGATATTTATTAAAATTAATAGTAATCACTAATCAATATTAAGAATGTCCTAAATTAAGTAAAATAACAACTATAGAATAACGAAATGAGGAAAGAATTAATGAATAATAAGATACTTTCAAAATTTAAAGAGTAAATGAGTTAAGTGTCCTAATAGTTCAAAATTATTTATATGGGATTATTTTAATTTCAGAATTTATATTGTGTCAAAATAATTTCTAATTATTTTAGTTTTG